AGGGCAGATAGCTGAAATCTAAGCAAGGTATTAGGAGAAGGTAGTCAACACCATCTGAGCAAACAGGACTCCAATAGGAAACACTCTTGCGAAGACAGACTCTCAACAAAGGCATAGTCTGTCTCCATCGGGATCAGTTTTAAATGTTTCCATCCATGGGCAGGAGTTAATCCCACCGCAAAGAGAGGCAGGTGCTTAACCAGGAATCAAGAGCCGATTCTGACACTATTAAGATCTGCTTGGGGCACCTCGGTGGCTCAGTCAGTTATGCATCTACCTTTAGTTCAGGTCATGATCTCAGGTCCTGGGATCTGGCCCCACATCAGGCTTCCTGCTCAGCAGGGAGTCTTCTCCCTCTGCCCCTTGGGTTTTTTTCTCATGTTTTCTCTCTCTCTCTCTCTCTCAAATAGTCTTTAAAAAAAATCTGCCTTACTATATAGAGATACTTAGAGTGCAATTTTACTAATTCATTTATTTAACAATAAGTTTTATGGGGCATCTGGCTAGCTCACAGCAGAGTATGCAACTCTTGATCCTTGGGTGGGAAGTTCAAGCCCCATTTTGGGTGTGGAGAAGAAAGAAAGGAAAGAGAAAGAAAGAAAAGAAAGAAAAGAAGAAAGAAAGAAGAAAGAAAGAAAGAAAGAAAGAAAGAAGAAAAAAGAAAAGAAAAAAGAAAGAAAGGAAGAATGAATGAAAGAAAGAAAGAAAGAAAGAAAGAAAGAAAGAAAGACCCAAACCAGTAAGTTATATAATTAACATACAGCAATGAAGAAAAACATAAAATTTCCTGCCATCAAGGAGTTAACACTCTATAGAGGTAGGTCTATCACAGATCATAGAGCTTAGTTACAGAACACAGCTTTTCAGACTTTAAAGACACCTTGTTCTATCTTTATCTGGATCAATCTCCATAAACTGCCATTCTAGTAATGCTCTAATTCCTGAACTTATTTCATTTCTTTTTCCTTTTTACCTTTTCCAGGTGTATATTTTTCACATTTCCATATTCTTTATTCCAATATTCACTCTGGAGCCATACTGGTTTTAAATTCTCAACCCTTTATTTTTTAATATCTCATGGCTTCTATATTTAACATTTCTAGGTTCTGGAGAAGACATCAAAAAGTGAAAGAACAAGTCTTTCCATTCAGGGAGTTTTTATTTCTGTAGGCATTCGTATGTCCTCAAGAAACTGTCAGACCAGGATGAATGTACTATGGCCCATAGGGAGACATTAAGTGCTGCAGTGGTGAAAAGGCTATGATAACCAAATGAAATTTTCCAGATCTCTCGAAGAGAACTGAAATCACTTTCAGTTGGGAGGAATCAGAAAATGCTTATAGAGGAGACTTAATTAATTTATTTTTAAAAGTTAAATTAGGGACGCCTGGGTGGCTCAGTGGTTGAGTGTCTGCCTTTGGCTCAGGGCGTGATCCTTGAGTCCCGCAGCAGGTTCCTTGCATGGAGCTTGCTTCTCCTCCCTCTGCCTCTCTCTTTGCCTCTCTGTGTGTCTCTCATGAATAAATAACACCTTTTTAAAAAAAAAGTTAAATTATATTAGATAAAATCTAATAAGCAGAATATGTTCTATGCCTCTCTCCTAACTTTTGGTGGCTGCTGGCAATCCTTGGTGTTCCTAGGCTTATAGCAGCATACATCCAATCTCTGCCTCTGCTGCAACATGGCCTTCTCCCTGTGTGTCCTGTGTCTCTCCTTCTTTTCCTTTTTTCTTTTTAGATTTTATTTATTTGTGAAAGAGAGCGCATGATCAGGGGCAGAGGGAGAAGCAGGCCCCCCTGATGAGAGAGTACCATACGGGACTGGATCCCTGGGCCCTGGGATCATGGCCTGAGCCGAAGGCAGACACTTAATCGGCTGAGCCACCTAGGTGCCCTCTCTTCCTTTTTCTAATAAGGACATCAGTCTTTTGGATTTAAGGCCCAGCTACTCCAGTATGATCTCAATCTTAACTACTTACATGTGCAAAGACCCTCTTTCCAAACATGGTCCATATTCTGAGGTTCTAGGCTGACATGAATTCGGGGAGGAAGGGCACTATTCAATTCAGTACAAGAAGTATGTTCCTAATTTATTTGTGATGTCTTCAAGAGGCTGTTATCATAAGAACTAGGATTTGGGCCTTAGAGGGGAAGAAAGCAAAATGGTTGAGAGTTCAGTTCATGAAATTTGAATTCCATTTCTTCCTCTTCCCAGTGGCATAGCCTTGGAGACCACACCCTCTTTAGTTGATAATTTTCTCATCTAATAAACAGGGAGGAGTACTTCGGAGTGTTGGAAGGAGGATTAAGTGAAGTAATGTAAGCAATGCACTTAGCCTGGTACCTGGCCCAGAAGGGCAGGGCTTGGCTCACTCACAGGAGCCTGACCTGTGCTATAGGGGGTGGTAAAGTGGGGGTTTCTGTTCACAGAAACAAAGATGATTCATCCTTTTCAACTAGGAGCTGGCTACAAGCACTGTTTGCAGGGCCACTTGCATTGTTTTCACTAATCATTTTGCTACTGAGATTTCTCCAGTCTGGTTGTTCAATATGAATGATTTACCACCACTGGTGACCCACATTCCATAGAAATGCTGGATCCCACATCATTATTCTTCAATGTCTAGCATTTCAGTTTGCCGATCGCCTTTATAACACTTTATTACTGCACTCCCCAAAACAACTGCTTAAATATAATAACCATTACCATCATCTTCTTCCTTAAGTTGTTTTGGAAAGAATACTATTTAAATATATAAATAAGCAATATCTTAAGTTTTATAAATGTTCTACATTATCTTATAACTCTTACAGGTGGAAAACCTAGTATTTTGTATCAATTTTTTGAAATGAGAACATTGATCTTCAAAGTAGTTACACGACAGACTTTTTTTAAGAGTTATCTCTACACCCAACATGGGGCTTGACCTTAACAATCCTGAGATTAAGAGTCGCATGCTCTACAGGGTGAACGAGACAGGTGCCCCAAAGTAGTTATATGACAAATACAACACTCCACTGTATCCTGATCAGTGGAGATGTCATATAAGTATATCTTCCACAGTGCTTGGCTTTTATTGGCCATATTCTAGGAGTTCGTTATCATCTGGTAATGAAATATAAACAATTTTTAATTGATATATGCAGTCTATGGTAGTCACTCTTTTATCCTAAAGAAAACTATTATTCCTTTGAATATACTTAAAGTTGAAGGTTTTTTACTTCCTTTTTTTTTTTTTTAAAGATTTTATTTATTTATTCATGAGAGACACAGAAAGAGGGGGCAGAGACACAGGCAGAGGGAGAAGCAGGCTCCATGCAGGGAGCCCAAGGGGGACTTGATTCCAGGACCCCAGGATTATGACATGAGCCAAAGGCAGATGCTCAACTGCTGCGCCACCCAGGTGCCCTAAAGTTGAAGTTATATTGTCAAAATCTATATTGGTCTCCTGTTGTTTTGTTTAACACTCAATTTTGTTAGCTTGCTGTTTTCCAACATGCTCTACTGAGAATTTTGAAGGGGAAGTGACAACTTGAACAAACCCTTTGCTACTCATGATGCACTTTTATCTTTTACTACTTTTTTAAGTTTATTTTCAAGTAATCCCCAGTGGGGTGGCTTGAACTCATGACCCCAAGATCAAGAGTCGCAGCTCTTCCAACTGAGCCAGCCAGACTCCCCGATGAATTTTTATATCGTGAGTCCAAACTCTTGTATTTCATTGATTTTGCAAAGTGATGTACAAATGCAGCACAGGAATGCAGTACCCTTTAATGTTATGTTTCCAGTCATCAGATGGGCAACTTGAAGAATTTCTGTATGCTATTGCCTGTTATAAAGTACATGATAATTAGGCAGGCAGGGAATTTTACAGAGTGACTTGTAGGACAAATCATGCATTAATTTCAAATCTCTGGAAGCCCAAGATTATGCATCAACTACCTGGACCTAGAGAAGGAAAATGCACTAGAATGCCTGGCCATTGGGAACAAGTTGCCCAGGCTTTAGATTTGGTAGTTTGGCTGTACTTGCGTCCCAGAGTGTATCTATACTATTCTTTACGTTCGTTCACTTTGTAGTAAGGACAGTGATTTCCATTTGCAACAGCTACCCCCTGGCAAGAAAATGCTTCAGAAGATCTCAGGGCATGTGTGCAGAGACAATACTAGACGTTCCTGGGTCTTCTGAATTCAGCGGGAGGTGATCGGAGGACTTGTTTTCCCCAGGTCTCGTTTCTGTGTCCGAGATGCGTTAGGCTGCTGTCCCACCACATACACATTTTCTAAACAGAACACAGATTTCAGGGATCCCTGGGTGGCGCAGCGGTTTGGCGCCTGCCTTTGGCCCGGGGCGCGATCCTGGAGACCCGGGATCGAATCCCACGTCAGGCTCCCGGTGCATGGAGCCTGCTTCTCCCTCTGCCTGTGTCTCTGCCTCTCTCTCTCTCTCTGTATGACTATCGTAAATAAATAAAAAAATTAAAAAAAAAAGAATGTTTAAAAAAAAAAAAAAAGAACACAGATTTCATGAGTCTGTAGCTTCCCTAAACCTCCTTTTTAAAAACTCCTGGATGGTATTGCAGATGGAAGCAATCCCCGTTACTTTTTAAATCGCACTTTGCGAAGTCAAAAGATAAACATTTTTTTCAGATTTACTTCAGAACATTCTCAAACTTCAGGAATGCTGATTGATATAAAGCCGCACACAGGAGGCAATTTAGCGACTGGGAGCGAAAAGGCACCCCTTGGCAGCGGGTCTGGGAGGGAGAAAGCCTCGGCCAGAGTTCCTTCAGAAAAGGACAAAAGAGAGACTTCCTGTCATTTCGATTGGTTTCCGCTCGTGGGATCAATACGGCAAAGCCCAGTTTCAGCAGATGCAAAGGGGGGGCGGGGGAGGTGCCTGGGTCCACACATCTCTCCGCGTCCAGGTGGAGTTGCGGGCTCCCTCCCCCGGGCTCAGCCCCCGCTTTCGCTCACCGGTATTTGCTTATGGAAATAAAGGGGGGGCGGGAGGCTCCGCCGCAGCCCAGTAGCCTCGGGGGAGGTGATCATTAACCTCCCCGGAGCCCGCGCGGACTGTGAGGCTGCGCCGCCCGCTGCACCGCCCGGCCCGCTGCCCCCGAAGCTCGCTCCCGCGGGGACCTCCCGCTGCACCGCCGGGCCCGCTGCCCCCGGAGCTCGCTCCCGCGGGGACCTCCCGCTGCACCGCCCGGCCCGCTGCACCGCCGGGCCCGCTGCCCCCGGAGCTCGCTCCCGCGGGGACCTCCCGCTGCACCGCCCGGCCCGCTGCCCCCGGAGCTCGCTCCCGCGGGGACCTCCCGCTGCACCGCCGGGCCCGCTGCCCGCGGAGCTCGCTCCCGCGGGGACCTCCCGCTGCACCGCCCGGCCCGCTGCCCCCGGAGCTCGCTCCCGCGGGGACCTCCCGCTGCACCGCCCGGCCCGCTGCCCCCCGGCCCGCTGCCCCCGGAGCTCGCTCCCGCGGGGACCTCCCGCTGCCCCCCGGCCCGCTGCCCCGGAGCTCGCTCCCGCGGGGACCTCCCGCTGCCCCCCGGCCCGCTGCACCCCGAGCTCGCTCCCGCGGGGACGCGGAATCATGAGACTGCGGCAACTCTTCCTTGCGGCTTGTGCTCTCATGCTGAGTCTCCTTGTCATCAACGGACAGAGACCAGGTAGGACTCTGATAGTCATTGTCCGTGCCTGTGTGAGCAGGGCGGCCACGTACCTGTTGCAGGTCGCTAAGGGGTTTGGGTAAGAATGTAGGCTTTCCGAAGCATGCTATCCATCCCGTCGGGTCTACTACTCGAATACTTAAAAAGTAGGTGGATTTTAAAATGACGTTGAGTATTTTACCACTGTTTTTCGGAATTCAAAGAAAAATTGATTCCTAAGTTACTTTAGGTATGTTGTCCTTGTAAGTAAAAAAAGAAATACAACTGTTGGGTCTATTGATTACAGAGGTAAACAGACTTAACGGATTTTTAGGGAAAATGTAAAAGCCAAAGGGGTTGATTAGCAGAACATGTTGCTGGCTGGAGTGGGGGGGGGCAGTGTTAACATTTTGAATTAACAGAAAGATCATGTGACAAAATACAGATGAAACCTTAAGACAGATTATTATAGCTGTTATTTCTAGTTACGTAATTATATATCTCACTTAAAATGCAGCTGTTAGTATTATTGTGCTTACAGAGCCAAAAATGTCAAAAATATTTATGGTCAAGATAATAGTAATCGACTTGACACATTTTTCAAAGATGGTATAGTTGTGTTGTTCTTACCAGCAAGAATTAGTAAACAATTACTCTAATGTGCTTTTACTTCAAAATCAAATACCTAAGATTTCAAAGCCCTGGCAAGTTAAAAGAAAAGAAAGTGTTCTGACTGAGGGAAAAGCAAACCCAAATTTAAGGAGAAAGGTGGTAATATTTATTCCATGTCAGATTATTCAACTGGTAACATACTTCTCCATTTAGAGCAGAAAAGGGCACATAACTGGTTAAAAATTCAGTCTCTCCCTTCTAGTTAATGAGAAGTTTGATCACTGAGGTTATTTCAAATGACGTCCCCGGGTTTGCCCTTTTACATAAACAAGAAAAAAATGTACAAATCAGCAATTCAGAAAGCAGCTGGCCCCTGCTTACAGTTAATAGCAATTGCTAATCAAACTTCTCAACTCCAGAACACCTTGGACAATGTTCTTGTAAAGTATCTGTGATTAATTCATTACATTAGCTGAAAATCCAAGAGCATTTAGAAAGAAGTAATGTGGAAGGAGGAGGTTATTATAAATAGATCCTGCTGTTAACATGAGTTGTTAGGAGTATTTTTTTCATATTTTTGCATCATGTTAATTTTTATATCACAATCACCAAGTACCAAATAATCACAATATAGTTTGGACCCAAAATATTCCCTTACATTCTCCAGATTAAACAATTCATTTTCTGAAATATGCTCTTAATATTTCCCTCTTTTTTTTTCTCAGCTAATTTGGCAATGAGAAGAAAATTGCACAGACACAACTGCCTTCAGAGGAGATGTATGCCTCTCCATTCACGGGTGCCCTTCCCCTGAGGTATTTCTGATAGAAAATTGTTTTTACTACATTTAGGCAATGTTCCAGATTAGATCTATCAAAGAAGGTTCATTTATATTTTGTAATATGTGATAATACCTTTAAGATGATATCAGTTCAAGGAATGCATCCTGACAAATGGGAATAGTGAATGACATGATATCTGAGAATTGTTCTAGTTGTTTAATGGGATAAAGCAAATGTAGGAAAATCTTGATAATCATTGATTCCGAGTGATAGGGTAGGGATTACTCTTCTTGTGTTAAACAATTTCCTAATGAAAACTCAGGTACGCAGAGAATATAATTGTGATAGTATCTTTAAACAATCTGTTTTCAAGAACACTGAATAGCCCTGTAAGACACTAAGACCACTGTGCCCTTGAAAGCATTGGAACATATTTGCCCAATTACACCATATAGATGATGTACTATCCTCGATATTTTCATAGATTATTAAAATAGTTTATTTTTCTTGACAATATTTGAGTGTATAAGATCAATTTAATATTAATACCATGGCAATTTTCCAGCCTTACACATAGAATTGGTCTTGATGGTTGTTGCATCTTTAAATTATGAAAAGAACTTTCCTCCTCCCCCCCCCTTTTTTTTTTCACTGAAAGACCAGTGATTTTTAAACTACCACCACTACCAGTAATACTGCTTGAATCAATTAACTTCAAACACTGCCCAACTGTGTATTTCTTCATACTAAAAAATAAATGATGGGGCATTCCACTGGAATTATTTTAAGCTCTTTAATTCTTATAAAATATATCATCCTTTAAAAAAATGCCATAGAAATATCCCTCAGCTGGTTAGCATACGCAGGCAATTGCTAAGTTAGCTTATTCAGTTGGTCTATAGACTGTAGTGTTTATGGCACTATTCATTCAAGGAGAGAATGGTTGCCATGCCTCTTGTTTAATACATGCTTTTCAAACCTGGGGAATGTCCTCTAGTGGGACATTAAATGAAGGAGCAATTCAGTAATCATGTATCAAGAGGGCTAAGACAAAAAGCCAAGTTCTCTCTACCTGTATCTGTAACAAATTACCCTTTGCTGTCAAAATATGAACAATAACTTTGTTGGAAAAATCCAGAAAGATACAGTAAGAAATTCCTGAGAGGCCAACTAATAGGGGCTAAAACATTTTCTATCCTAAAGAATCCTTTGGCATGTGTCAATAATGCATTTCAATCTCAGATATAAACAGTGGTAAAATCTGTGCTTAGGAGAGAAGTTCAAGACTTTCCCAGCACTCCACCACAAATAACAAAGAGGAGAGGAGGCAGTTCACAGTAGCAAGGGAATTCCTGCATATACTGAGAAAGATACCTTGCATAAGGCAAATAAAAGCCCTCAGTTGGCCACGGGTTGTATCAGCTTTCTCCACAAACCACCTGCCATAAAAACGAGGGTTGCAAGTAAACAAGACAGAGTAATGAAGTTTGAATTGTCAAAATTCAGGAAAATTTTGATCTATAAACCAAGTTTGTAAACCAAAGGGAAATCTAAATAGAACCTGTGTAAACCATCTAGTAAGAGAAGTCCTGTACAAAATTTGACCGATTGTTGTAAAGAACTGCTCAGGTTACAGCATCCATTTTCTTATTTCTGTTTAGACTACTTCTGCATTCCAGCTACAGTTCTTCGAAGAATGTACAGAACTCCTCTTTTGAAATCCAGTGATAGCATAAGAGCCAATGTGGGATGAATATTATGATCATTTTCCAAGGTCTTGCTCAACGAGGGCTATAATACCCAGTGCTGCCCTCAGATGTGAAATCACAATTCTCATCCTAAATTCTTGCACACTTTTTATAAGTCCTGCAACACAATGATTTGACTGCTGGCTAAATCACTGTAGTCCTAGGTGTAGTGGAACTCTAAGGCAGAACCTCCCTTTCACTTATTCCCTCTGTTTTCTGAATGTTTTATTTGTCTGTTTATTAATTGTTTTTTCAGCATTGGGCTTGAACTCAGGATCCCAAGATCAGGAGTGCTCGACTGATTGAGCCAGATAGCCACCCCTGTTTTCTGCATGTTTTAGATAAAAATCACACATGGTTATTTGATTCAGTTAGGGTCATGTAAGACTGGGAGAGGACAGGTGAGGTAAACAGTTGACTTTGGAAGTTGTCCAGATTAACCTTTGAAGGAGCTTAGGCTTTTAGCTCCCTTAACAAGAATGCCCCATTATCTTTACTCTGTCAATTTTACCAACTCCTAGAGTCCTTCTCAGTGATCGTCAGTGACATTTCCTAACCCTTACAACTGAGTTAATTAAATAGAAAAATCTTGCTGTGTAAAATTCTTTCTCTTCATAATTGTTTTTTCTTGCTGAAATATGTTGGTATCACATTCAGCCCTAAGTGAATTAGGAAGTGGAGGAAAATGAGAAAGGGTGTTGGGAAATTCAAGTTTACATGCTAATGTTTTAGTTTTAGAGTGGAAAATGAGGCAAAATCCTTAGATTCTCATGATTTTCCTCTTCTAGCCATAAAATCTCACTGTATCAAGGCTTTCCCCTTTTTTTGAATATTTTATTTATTTGAGAGAGAGAGAGAGAGAGAGAGGGATCACAAGCAGGGGGAGTTGTAAAGGGAGAGGGAGAAAGAACCAGGCCACCTGCTAAATAGGGAGCCTGATGTGAGATTCGATCCCAGGACCCCCTGGATCATGACCTGAGCCAAAATCAGATGCTTAACCCACTGAGCCACCCTGGCATCCCATCAATGTTTTTCTTTTCTTTTCTTTTTTTTTTTTTTTTTTACGGTTTTATTTATTTATTCATGAGAGACACAGAGAGGCAGAGACACAAGGCAGAGGGAGAAGCAGGCTCCACACAGGGAGCCTGATGTGGGACTCGATCCCGGGTCTCCAGGACCACGCCCTGGGCTGAAGGCAGGCACTAAACCGCTGAGCCATCCAGGCATCCCAATGCTTTTCTTTATAAATATGTACTCCAGGGGCGCCTGGGCAGCTCAACTTGTTAAGCACCTGCCTTTGGCTCAGGTCATGATCCCAGGGTCCTGGGATAGAGCCCCATGTGGCGCTCCCTGCTTCTCCCTCTCCCTCTGCCCCTCCCCTGGCTTGTGTTTTCTCTCTCTCTCTCTCTCTCTCTCTCAAATAGATAAAATCTATAAAACAAATAAAAAATACTCTAGATAAATATATAACCCAGTAATGTACACTCGATCTCACTTTTTTTAAAGTAATCTCTATACTTAACATGGGGCTTGAACTTACAACCCAGAAATCAAGAGTCATATGTTCCACTGACTGAGCCAGCCAGGTGTCCCTATCTAGCTTTTTAATAATTGTGACATATGTTTATAGTATAAAATCTTTTCCTAACAGTATGAAAGAATGTAAAGTCAAAATTAAGTCTCTTTGGCCTTTTTCATTTCCCAGAGGCAATGGCTATGAAAAGGTTTTGGTAAAGGTGGATTTAATTTTTGTTTTGTTTTGTTTTGCAAAAAGACTTATTTGAGAGAGAAAGCTTGTGAGCAGGGGTGGGAGGGTGGGAGAGGAGGAGCAGAGGAGGGAGAGGGACAGAATCTCAAGCAGACTCTGCACTTAGCAGGGAGCCAGCAGAGTTGGGGGGGGGGGAGGGGAGTGGGGGGGGGTGGCTACCCTGAGATCCCAAACTGAGCCAAAACCAAGACTCTGCGTAGCTTGGCTGAGCCACTCAGGTGCCCTGGTAAAAGTACATTTTAGTACATTATTTTAAATTGAGACCAGCTAGTACTCTCTTGTCACTCTTGATTACCATTCTGTTAAATACTTAGTATGTTCTCTATTTTCTGCCTTATTCTTACCCCCTCAAAGTTATGGGCTTCTAACCTTTGACCAAACCTCTAGCCTCACCTGCCAGTTCTTTCTGCAATTGTACTATTTATTGTCTCGGCCCTTCTCACTCTCTTGCTGAACTGAAAGCCAACTTTCTAAAGCACAGAATCGCTACTCTTGTGGAGCATTTTATCTTCAACATTGGCAGGACTTTGTGAGAACACCCCCCCCCCTTTTTGCCTTAAGTTTATTTATTCATTCAATTATTTTTAGTAACCTCCACACTCAATGTGGGCATCAAACTCATGACCCCAAGAGTCGCATGCTCTTCGGACTGAGCCAGGCAAGTTTTTTTTTTTTTTTGGGGAAAAACTCTTTTACTTACCCTTAGGCATCTCTGATTCCCAGTCACCTACATTTAAATCTCTAATGATCTCTAGTTTCCTTGAACTTCTTAACCTTTTCCAGCTCACAGCTAGAGATAATTTCTCTTCCCAGAGAAGATGGAGATCATCAAGCTTTAAAATCAGACTCCACACTCCAGCTACATTTACATCTGCTACACTTCTATTTTCACTTCATAGTCTTTTAAGAGATTCCTCTCCTGAGTGTGGGTACTCTCTCTACATCTCAAGAATCTTAAGCTGACATTTATTCCCTTTCTTCCTCAGATTGTTCATATGTCAAAACTGACTGGTTTCATCTTTTAAAACGAGGAAAATAGGTGCACCGCTGACCCCATGGTGCTCTCTAGTGACTAGCCCCTGTTCTTCACTGCATGGCCAAGTTTCTTGAAAAAGTGGCTGTTTCTTTTCTGTTTCAATACACTGCTACCCACTGCATTCTGGGAAAGATCCCCAATGACTTTCTTCTCAATCCAGTGAACACATTTTTATTCTGTCCTCAGTTATCTTGCTATAGGTCAAATAGTGAGTAGGTCTTCATTCCAATGATACGATGCTCCCTTTTGATTATCTCTGAAACAAATCACTATTTCTTAGTACCTGTACCAGGAGTCCAGTCGCCTACGTGGGATCACTTTAGCTGTTCTAAGTCACTTCAAGTTCATGTCTACAGTGCATTTGCAAATCGCAAGCATGGCTTCTGCATAGCTTATTCTTGTAACTCGGTTCTCTGTTCCAAAATCATAGATGTCACCAGGAAGGACTTTCCTTTCTTTAAAAAAGCAATACCAGGGTGCA